CCTCATCCAAAGGCTGCAACAACGCCAAGCTCAATAATCTAACAACCAAAAAATGTTGCTGAGTGTATCTTTATTATGTTGCTATGTATGATCTCTCAGTTAGTCACACACTGGCTTGCAATTTAACAGTAGTTCACTGCATTATAAATGGATGAACCAGTGCTTTTAACAGGTCTTTGTTTATAGAAAATGTTGGAACGTTAATTAGTCTGTCAGAGCCATCAGAGCATGGGTGAATAAGATGTTTGCTTTGGATAATGTGCCACAATGCTTTGTTTTGACAACCTACTGTTAATGCACCGCCGCCCACACACACAGCGCTTGTTTTCAGACTGATAGAAATGTAACATGAGACCAAATCTGTGTGTCTGTCTGCTGTGTGGTGCATTCTGTCTGACGGGGCATTTAGATGAGCTGTCCCCTGGTACTGTGGGCCACAAGAAGAATCCCTCAGAGCCTCCAGAGCTATGTCCATTTTCCAAGCCTGACCTGGCACTGACACAGAGCTTTAACCTGCTGAGCTCCGAAGACTGGTGAGAAACATTTGCATGTTCCAGTATCTCATGATGAGTCCAGAGCTCTTACTACCATGAAATATAGAATTTGCAGGGATTGATTAGCTAAATAATTACATTAACAAAAAAATATTATACTGCAGTCATTCCAGTTATTTTGATATTCGTGGGATAACACAATCCCTTACTATTCATTTTATATACCTTTTGTAAAGAAACAGCCAATATCAAAGTCTACAAAGAAATGGCTACCAACTGTGTTTTTTAAATGTCTTTCAGGGAGAAGAAGATTGAGGGTCTGACGTTCTTGCGCAGTCTGGCTCACTACCACTCAGACACACTCCAGTGCAGGCTTCATGATGTCTGCCTATCTCTCATTCAAGAGGTAGAATAGCTTGTTGTATAACATTCCTACATCGTTTTGATTGTATCCATTTTGCCGGTTTACTCCATCTGAACTTGAATTGCTTCACTCCAGATTCATTTACTGATATCTGACTTACGTCTGCCTCTTTTTCCTGTTGGAAATGGGTTTCGGGAATGATCCTATTCCCATGAGCTATTAATAATGTCATTGTATTCAGGTGAAAAACCTCCGGTCAGGTGTGTCCAGGGTTGCAGTGTGTGCATTAGGCGATCTGTACACCCACTTGCAAAAGGCAATGGACCAGGAGCTGGAGGGCACAGCTAAAGCTTTACTGCAGAAGGCCGGGGAGAGCAACGCCTTCATTAGGCAAGATGTGGATGCAGCACTGGACTGCATGGTGCAGCACTGCACACCCACTCGTGGCATTAGTGCTTTACTCTCTGGAGGACTCAGGTCAGTCTACTTACACACACAGTAAAGAGCTGTTTCACCACACTTATAGTTTGGAATTTTTGTGGGTACATTTGCAATATTTGTAACACTAAATCATTTTTAATCTTTGATTGCTGTATTGGTTTCCCCTCTACCAATAGTCACCTCAACGCAGTGGTGAGAAAATGTGCCGCCAAGCATCTGGCTAATCTGGTAGAGAAGGTTGGCGCTGTCCGTCTTCTGTCCGGAGGTAAAGATCTCACAGACAGAATCTTACCTGCCATCACCAGGCTTGCACAAGACTCCTCCCAGGAAGCCAGGTATGTAGATTGCTTTTGTTTTGTGTTTTCATATAGTTGTTTTACAAGTTGGAGCCATTTTATGGCACACAGATTTGAGTTTACCTTTTGTGTTTACACACACTAATTAATCATGAAGTATTTGTAGAAAAGGAACAAATAGTAGTTGGGTCTACCAGCTGATTCACTGTTAATCCTCATCATGGTTTGTGGAAAAAGCCTTAATAGCAAATAAAACACAACTGATATATAATTTCAAAGGTTTGATTAACCATAATAGAAAAAAGGTGAGTGATGCTTGATATTGATTGGCACATGCCATAAGATGGGACCAAAAAGATACACAGTATAAAGCAATGCAAACTTAATAACGTTCACCTTATCGGAGAGGATTTTATTCAACTTGTGGTCATTTTTGATGCCATAGTTTGTTGTTGTTGTCTACTGGATTGAAGTGTTTGTCGCATTCAGTTGCCCCATGTATGTAAACAGGAATAGAGAAAAAAAGATTTTCAGTGTAATGGTGTACAATACAGCAGTATATTGCAACATGTAATATACATCTGCATTCTGGTTGTTGCATGACTTACTGTTACTGAAATAGATAAACCTTAAAACAAGCAACAAAGTAACGTTTCTCCCTAAACAGCTGATTTACTATTATACTGGTTTAACCCACAGGTACTTTGGGCGTCGAATGCTGCTTTCCCTGTCTTCCCACCCTGACTTTGACAAGATCCTTGAGAAATATATCCCCACCAAAGACTTGCCGACTGTCAGAGACACCGTCTTCACTCTCAAGACAAAGGTACAGTGTTTTTTATAAACGTGTTTATAACATTGTTGTTCTTGCTAAAGGTCACAGTCATCTTACCTGGAGATTGTTGTGGTTTTTTTTAGGGTCTTGGTGAGATGCCCCAAGACACACAGTCAGCCAGGGGTAGACGCTCCCTCCCAGGCAGTGGTACAGTCAGGGCCTCATCTCTCACCAGAGAGCCACTCAACCAGACCAACAGGTGGGTGTAAATATCAACCAGTACAACAGGGCTAACACTAAATGCAGCCGTTTAAGTAGGGGTGAAGCTTACACAAATTGCATAATACATATGGAAAGTAGATTAATTATACAGGTTTATAAACCATTTGATGTGTTGCATCATCTACAGGGAGTCTAACAGTCATTACAGCTGTAGATCTCAGACACAGAGTATTGCAGACAAGACCGAATACATCAAGCAGATCTCAGGTCTGCTGGGTTCAAAGGACTTCAGAGAGAGGATCAAGGGAATAGACCAGCTAGCTGCTGACTGTCAGCACACCCCCAACATGGTCATCAATAGTATATTTCCGGTTAGTACTCGCATCTTCTGTGTGTGCTTGGTTCTCAGTTACCATCATACAATTCTGTTTCCTCGTAAAAACATCACCAAACTGTCTTGTGTTTCACCTTTTGTTCTTCTCCCTTCTTTCAGGTGTTTGATGCCTTCAAGGCCAGGCTGCAGGAGTCCAACAGTAAGGTCAACCTATATGCCCTTGAGTCTCTACAGAAAATCATCCACTTGTTGAAGGACAACCTGTCCCAAGTGGTCAACATCCTGGTTCCAGCAATTGTGGACAATCACCTCAACTCCAAGAACAATGCCATCTACTCTGCTGCTATTGGAGCCATTAATGCACTTATCTTAAATCTTGGTACTCATTTCAACATTTACGTGTGCTAGAGGTGAAATTAGAGGCTCAGTCTAATTGGAGAATTGTCTTTATTTGACTTTGTGATTTTCTTTGCTTCCATGACAGATAACATACTCCTTCTTCAGCCTTTTTGCACCAAGGCTCAGTTTTTAAACGGCAAAGCAAAGGTGGATCTTATCGAAAAGGTTGCAGGTATGTTTGTTGTAATAATTGTGAACATTGTAATAGGTTTTAGCCTCAGCAGCTCTCAAATTGGTTTGTATGTCCGTCCACCTCATGTTCTTTCTCGCTTTCTATCCAGATCTTGTTACAGAGCTCTACCCTCGCAAGCCCCAGATGGTGGAGCAGAAAGTGCTGCCCTTGCTGTGGCACCTCCTGGGCACCTCTACCCACAGTGGCACCATTCATGGCCGGGGCGGCAGCGTGAGGGGTGCTACCGCCAACTTGTGCCAAGCCCTTTACGCCCAGATGGGGCCCAACCTGATTGACTGTGCTGCTTCCCAGCCTGCCAATGTCCATAAAGGTTTAAATGAGGTCCTGAGGACCTTTTCCTAAAGGTAAAACAGAATTCAAACACAACCACATGTTGGAAGAGAAGAACATTAATACTGACCTTACTTGAAGACAGAGATGTTCTACATTTCTTATAGTGCCTGCACTTTTATATCAATAAAGAGAAAGTCCTTAAAAAAATAGGAGCTCTTATTCTTATCTCAGTGAGATTTCCTCTGGTACAGAAGCATGGACAATTGTAAAATACTGACATCAGGTCTTACACATACTCAACCTGCTCTCTTTGCACTTTGAAAAAGTAGCTTATTATCATGATAGACTTAATGAGTTTTACATGATACCATCCCATGATTGTCATTGCTTTTTTCATATTCTAAACATGTACTGTAGACAAATCAGAAACACTATTGCAGAATGTAAAATTGAAATGCACAGAAAACAGGGAAGAAGACAGGGACCTGAAAGGTGTATATTTTTGCTGTTTCATCAAATGTGTTGTGATATTTTCAAAATGTTTTATGTAGTTGTTTTGAAAATTTGTGAAATGAGATTAACAAGAATAGTACAAAATACTTTTGTACAGCTCAAATGTGTATTTGCACAGTATTAGCTTAATCTGTAATCGTATGCTGTATGATGGTACAGTTTATAATTTATCTATTGTGTAATGGTTGTTAATGATGTGCTGAGTTGGTACAGTCTGTCTTTCTTTTGTTTTTTTGCATGACCAAAATTTACTGGCAGGATCAAAATTGTGTATATTTTTGTAAAGGAGATATATATGTACACTGATGCCTAGATCAAGGTTGGGTTCGAACCAGTTCTCCTGGATGGGGACAGTGTGAAAGGAAAAGGAGTAGAGCTTTACTCCAGTGGTTGCCTGAGAAATAATGAAGGCCCAGATCTGATTCTGTCTCAGTATAGTGCCAGTCTTCAAGTAGCCTTTTAACTCATCTATTGTTAAATTATATTGAACTTGTTTGTGAACAAGAGCAAAGACAGATTGATATATAAATAAAGTGTTTTATTTCTGTAAAACCTACTTCCAGGTGCCTCATTTAAATTTGAATGGGGTTGGTAGAGGGGTAGAGGGGAACTGACCACAGCTATTAATGTTATTGAATTATTTAATGTTATAAATGACTGCTTTTTAAAACGAAAGGTGACTCAAATTCTAGCCAAGAAACACACATTATGCTTTTTAAGATACCTACTTTAGCTTTATTGATGGGTACAGTTACTGCATAAACATGAGATTCTTCCCAAGTGTTTTGTTGTGTTGACCAATTCATATGCAATGGTATCCAGTCTCCTGGTGAATTTACTCTTAATATGTAAAATAACAGAAAAAGCTGACTGTGACGTAGAGCTGCAACTATTAGTCAATCAACAGATTAATCAACAATTTGGACAATCAATTAGTTTTTCTTTTTGGATCACTGTAAACTAAGCATCTTTGGGTTGGTCAGACATGGCAAGACATCTGAATACATCACCTTAAACTCTGGGAAACTGGGATGGACATTTTCTGATGTCTTATGGTCTAACATATAATCATTAGTTGCAGCCCCACTGTGAAGAATCATTGTCGGGGTACCAAGAATGAGACATGTTTTCATCACTGTTGAGGCAATTCAGGCTAAGGCCTTATAAAAGAGGTAGGCTTAGCAAGCAGTAAAAAAGACTTGTGTTACATTTTTAATGCATCAATGCTTTAACATGCTTTAATGTTCCAGATTGATCTTGAATATCACTTTAATTGACCTGTGGGGGATTAAATATTATGGCCAAGCCGCATTGCTGCCAAGTTTTTAATTAAATACAACGCAAATCATAATCTCACCCCACAAACCTTTTAACTATGAAAGTAGCTGCCATTTTGAAATTGTACTGAACAGAGATGTTTGCTAGCTGCAGTACTGGATGTGCTGTCCAACACTGTCATGAGCGACAGGTGAATGTCAGACTGGACAGAGTTCCTGTGACCTACATGATACAGTAGATGATTTCACAGCATTTCAGTAGCAGTGTGGATGAGCTTGTGCTTGGAGGGATGCTGCTACTCATTCACAAAAAACAAAGCCTAAAGGCAATCCCGAAAAAGCACTGACAAAATTCTCCAACTCAAGTTATATTAAACCATCAGTGTCAACAGATACAGTAGCTGGACTGCACATTGGCAAAACATCAATTTATATATGGTATGTAAATGAATCAAATATACAACTCTTCACATAGTCCCTTTAAAATGCACAGTTATAACAAAGGTTGACCCTGCTTGTATTAAATCCAGTCCGTTTCCAGTATCAAACTTAAACTATAAAACTATAAAAATGAGGGAGCGTATTTAGAATAATAGCAAAAGTGAAAACTCCCTTTAAAGTTCTGAGCTAACCACAGTGGTGTTGTCGACAAGGGCCAAATATGTTTGCTACTTAAGTATGGCTCACATTTCTTTACCTTCACTAACAGAGACAAATACCTTCTGAAATTACAACAAAGACACGGTGTAATATGAAATGATACAAATTCTGAAACTGTCATGGAAATGTGCTTCTTGTGATGGAAAGAAAAACACAAATAGAGAACCAAAGACTACACCTGGATTCAATTATTTGTTAGCAAATGATGTAACAAATAACTGGAGCCAAGTCAGTCGATGCCAAGAACATGCTGAAGACTTTCTAACATGTTCCTTCTAACACAACTGTTCAGCAAACCCTCGGATCATTTCTTGTGCCATGAATGCGAGGTTTATGATTTTGGTTTAGTGGCCATTTAATGCTCTGCTGCTTTGCGTCACTGTATTGTTCCCTCGGCTTCACTGACCAAATGGAAAAAAAAATAGCCCCTCCTCCTGTGGATCTTTCCATTCTGTTACTAAGGCAGCTGGATCAATGCCATGGCAACCTGGATGGCTAGATGTTGGGAGAAGATGAGTGTGTGGTTGCCGTCCTCTGCACCTCACTTTGTCAGGGACCAGATGTCTTGGGCAGGTCCTGGTTCTCAGCCAAGTGGAGCTTTTGTCTGAACACGGACACATTAAGGATTCACACAGAATGACTTTGAACTGAAAAACTGATTATGTAAATCCAGTGTGTGCACCCGGAGCGCTGGGTGACTCCCATAAATAAACATTCAATTAGGAAAGGATACATTGAGGTGCTGAGTTCCTCCAGCTGCGGGAACAAATGAACAAGAGGGGAATCATAAAATAGCAACAGCCAAAAATAGAAAATGAAGTGGCGGTACAAGGCGACTAATCACTAAATGTGATCATATTACACGACAGCCTGTTTGTGGCGGTTCATCGTCTGACTACATTGTTTACAAAAGCAAATGGTCAACTTCCTTTCTTATTCACACGAGGGAAAGTCACTTCAAAGCCCATCTGCTGTGAGGCGCAATTACCTACCGCTGCTACAGCTAACAAGTATTCCTGGCAGCAGTATCTGTCATGAGCTGATGGCTTGTTCTCACCTCTCACTCACACTCACACACACACACACACACACACACACACACAGAGAGAGCACTGCAACTTCCCCAGCATACCAGCCCCAAGCGTGGGTAACTAGGAGCCTCACAACATGCTAACAATAGAAACTCTTTCCAGGCATTCTTGGACTACACATGGTGCATAATATTTAACATTTAAACATACCAGAACTCAGCAAAGCATGCAGTAATGTTAACACTATACTGTATGATTAATCTATTGCACTATATTGTATTTTTATTTTATGTGCTTTACTTGAAGGTTTACAACTAAGAGTGAAAGGAAGGAAAAATACATTTGGTCCACACAATATACTTTAGGTCATTAACACTGCATACATAAATGCCTCTCCTGTGTGAAAGCATACTACAGTATTTCATTATCCCCCACATACAATGTTCATTATTCCAATATAACATTTTGTGGGTTGATAACTGAATTGGGGGGCTCCCATGACCCATTAATGTAATTCCTTCCAGGTTTTCTACTATATTGTCTTTAAATAAGGTAAATAAATGCTTTGGTTTTGGTCAGAGTTAAGGATAAAAACAAAACAACTGAATGCAATCAACGTGTGGCACAAGCTGGAAAATGCATTCTGATCGGCTGCTATGTACTGTGCATAATAATTAATACAGAATACACCACAACCCACAGAGAATCCACATCATTTCAGTGTTCTGTGTAAGTACTTTACTCCGTAGCCTCAGACGAGAAAACCTGTCTCACTCTACACTAAGGAACTGCTAACCTGCTAGAGGAGACTTTCAGTGGAGAGTTTTAACGTCACATGATGCTGTTTGGTGGCTTGTCGAGCATGGCAGAGACTAATGAAACACACTGATTTCTTAATTTAGGGGGCAGTTTTGGGAAGCAAAAAGTGGTATTCAAAGGCACTAAATATATAATATAACATTTCATACAGGTTTATGTGAAAACAGAGTTTGTCTCTTGCTTATGAAAAGAAAAACCCAGATGAGGATGACCTTGTGCCGCTGTGGTTTGTGCTTACATTACAGAGCAGGTGCTCCAGGTTGTGGTCAGAAGCACACTTCCTCTGGTCCTCTGAAAGCTCCTCTACGTGGCTGTCGAGGCTGAAGTGCAGTCGGGCTAGCTTCTCCTGCATCTCGCGCACATGCTCCAGCTGCTCAAAGGAGCACACCTTACCTAGAAATCAGATGAGTTCAACCAGGCAGCTGTTAACTTCTCTGAAGTGGCATCTCTTTTGGTTGCAAAGGGATTACAGCAAAGTCAAAAGTATTTCCATGGCAGCAGATTTGTAAAAATAGCACCACAGCTATTTGATTTCAGTGTGATTCAATTTAACAAAGACACTTTCAACTGGCTTTATCCTGAGCCTGAAACAGAATATCCCCTGGTGGCCTCTCTAATCAAGGTTGTCTTACCAAAAGCCTGTAGTTTGCCTGAGTGGAAGTCATTGAGGAGGTTGAGGAGGCCTCCCTCCATCTCTCTCACATCTGAGACATCTGTGAGAAAGGAGTGCTGCAGGGGGGAAGCCTGGACTACTTTGCTGGGCCCTGCTGGCTGTGGAGCCCGGGGCTTCTCCTTATGAGGCCTGAGGAAACATCATAGTCACACACACCATCACACGCAAAACAGTACAAAGTATCTCTTGTAAGCACCTGCCTCATCTATTTGTGCCATTCCTCGAATGGCTTTTGGCGAGCTTTAAAATATGAGTATGTAGCTTTCGTAGAAGAGAAGAGAGAAGTCTTCCTCTTACAATGAAAAGTTGAATTCAAAAGCAATATTAGCAGCTTCTGGTCAGTTGAACACACTCAGGGGTTTCACTGTTGCAGCATTTCTTAGGGTGATATAATCACATAACCAGTAGCTTATGAAGGCTAATGGCTTAGCATTTAAGCTCAATGCTAAAAAGTGGTTAGTAGTACCATTAAATAAATGGAGCTGTTCAGCACTTCACGTCACACTTTAAAGAACAATTCTGAGGTAATACACCACATATATGATCAAAGTTGACTTCCCCGTCATTGCAAAATGGTGACAGACAAAGAAAATCTGGTAGTTATTGATTATGATACTGATTCTGATTATATTCACTTACTATACTGCACACAGCACAGTATGTGATCTCTCACACTGTAATTTAGCCTGTTTGAAAATTAATGAGATGATGGAGGACAAACAACACAAAGAACATTTGCAGCAGTTGTTTATAACGACCGGAGTCTTCTGGAGGATTTTCCTGTTTATGGTGAGACACAAACCTGGTGGTCTTTGGTGGAGCTACGACGGCTGTGAAGACCTCTTTGGGCTGACCTGGTGCTCCTATGGACCTCTTAAACTTGCCTCTGTTCTTGGGGGAAGGTGGCTGCGGCAGGCCGAGAGAGAAGGTGGCACTTTTGCTGGCGGGCAGGACGGTGAGTTTGCGGGGGTTGATGGGGGGAGGAGGGGGCTGCGGAAGAGACACCTTGGGGCTCCGCTTCTTGCGTTTGTCTTCCATTACTACTTGTTTAGGTGGAGCTCTTTGGGGTACGATGGAGGGGGCACTGCCTGGCTGATGTACAGGACGTCCTGAAACAACAAAGGTAGGAAGTTGAAAACCAGCAGCCTTCCCCTCCCTGAGAAAGGGCTCTGTGGAAGATCCTGACTGCCAAAATTAGTGCTGCAGCTCAGGATTCTCTGCTCTGCAACAAAAAAAGAAAAAAACATTTAGTGATGCTTTCATTAGTTTAACAGCATTTTCAATAGTGCCTACCTGTCACAGACAAATCTAAGTCAGCAGAGTAAGATTTAAACATTTTAAAGTGACAGTGAGGAGGAGTATACCACTAATCTGCATCCGTAAATGGGATTTAGATTTATTCCAGGCAATGTTCTAGGGTTGTTTTTTTTTTTTCTTCATGATGATTCGCTGGTGCAAAAAGTAGGAGTGAAACAGCAGCCTAGAAAGATATTTTTAGATCAGCATCAAAGTGGAAAGACCTTGGAGAATATGTGTGAAGTGAAGGAGGACGTATTACTGTTTGGGGGACATTTTACAACCCAGCAAACCAATTATATGCTCTTCAAAATGTCAAAGAAACTCCAAGAAAGCTCCACCGCACTGCAGTGGGCTCTTTTACTACATGAATGGCTGGAGTGTACTGACATTGACTGAACTGCTGCACCAAGACGCAGAACTTCAGTGCTTTGAGCATACTGTATTTTACACAAATGGCTCTAATGTGTGTATATAGCTTTCAGACAAATGGCTGGAGGAGAAAATCAATATACTGCTTATGTGGTAGGATAGTGGAGTTTAAAGGTCTCACCCTTATGTATTGATTTATTATTTATTTAACCTCAGAAGTCATTTAGTGTAAAGCATTCACATTAAATAGCATTGCAACAAATACAAATATATAAATTTAAATGTATTACCGGACTTCTATTGGATTCTCGTTTGCTGTTCACTTATAAAATACTACATGTGGGCTCAGCGATATTAGTATCTTCAAACTATTACAGCAGTAGAGTAGTCGTGCATTATTACATTAAGAGAGCGAGTGAGTGCATTAGTGTCATTATGATCTCGGTACAGGGCCTAAATAATGCTTTATTCCATTACAATGGATGAAATCACTGTTATAATGTTATCTCCCAAACACTGCGCCAGCCTCCGTTCAAAGTACAATCCAAAGATGGCCACTACAGTGATACACAACGGCAACTTTATACGCTGAAATCCTTCACTGGGATTAAACCGACAGTGTAGAGAAGCCCTATTTAATGACAGTATCCGGACAGCAGTTTGTTCCACCAGGTTTGTTAAATTCAGCGTGAGAGACGACGCGTAAACAGATTTCTCGCCCACGAATGACAACAAATAAGACTTACCGAATCAATAACGCACCAGAGAGCAAACCGGCTGCTGGACACACCGTCACATTTCTCCTCCTGCCAGAGACGCGTACGTACACTGCACATGAATTGGCCTTTGTAAAGCACGGTGAGGTTGAATTATCTCTGCAGCACCGGAGCTAAATACTGCTGAAATGTAGCGCGCGGCATCGATGCGCTCGGCTCGTGCGAAGCTGCTGTTGTCTTTATCCTTCTTAAAGGGCCAGTGCGCCCCGCTGTGCGCCCCGCTGTGCGCCGGCAGAGGAGCGGCCCTGCAGGCTCACTGTTCACTCTGTCATACAGGTGCAGAGAACAGGATGCTGTGTACTGCTGAACACTCGTCAGCTCATTGCATGGAACCTACTTATATCCGCTGTTTGCAGCCTGAAGGCGTTCAGAGCCACTCTGGACCTGAACATACCACAGACAGGCCACACGGGGACGCCAATGTTCTCCATCTTTCTTTCCGATCCTCATCCCTGTTATTGTCAGTCACTACCATTTTACACACATTTTGGATAGATGTGTTTATATACGCTATATATACGAAAAACTTTTCTCTTTGATCACACATTTTCCTCAAAGGTCAAGCACATATTTAGAGTAAGGAAAAACTCATCTTAAAATGACTGAACTTGAATTTAGAAACTTGATTTTAAGTATTTAAGAACAAACATCAAACCCCTTAAATACAGTTAGATGGGTTTCAAAGTAAAGTACTCCAATGGTATACATTTAGTGTTAATAAAATTCAAATCCTTACAGCCTTTCTTTGCTTCCATGTAAATACAAAATAGCTGGTAAAAACGAGTTAAATATTGTGCAACATAATAAACTTTCCAGCAATGAAGAGTCAATTAATGCACATTCTAACTGTACAAAGTTTACTTTATGAAACAGAGGCCTCTTGTGGTCAGGATAAATAAAACCCAAGCAAACATTTATAGGTAATACAAAAATATTTCTTTTTATTATGGCAGATCAGAACAAAAACGTGACACAAAATGCAGTTTGTAGAAAAAATACAGAGCTTTTAGGCATGTTTGTGTTGTTCCAAAGTGAATGCAACCACTAATAACTCGAAGTCTAGCTGACTTTCTGGTCTGATGAGCTGTTTGAGTACGAGTATGCCTTTCCTAGGACTATTCTGTCTCTGAGAAGCTTGAAGAAGGCGTAATAGTTGCTGAAGAGGATCAGAGCCAGTGATATCGTCTGATGCCACTTTTCTGAACATATCAACGAGTAGAGCTGGTAGAATATCATGGCACCTTCCAGGATGATGAGTATGTTCAATATTCGTAAGGGCTTGTTGAAAAAGAACTAGGGGAAGGAAAGAGACAGGATGTCATATTAGTATTTTACAAAATAGGTTATGTCAGTACAGACTATGAGTACTCCGTAGTCTGCTGTTGCTCATTCAGAAATACTCACATAGAAGCGGTAATGGGACACATCTGATGGAACTGCAACATTATAGTGACCCATAGCCTTGTACACATTCTTATTATGTTTGACCAGAACCCCCTGTGGCCACATGTATTCCTCTGTCCATCTGCGCAAAGAGAGACAGCGGGAGTGAGTTTAGGATCGGACTCCAATGTACCTAAAGCTCAGTAATAAAGCATGAGCGGTACATACATGTGCTGAAGGACGTTGGAGCAGAGCGAGGGGTCTACTTTCTGCCAGCAGCCCAAGTGAGCTGCAGCTTTGTGAAGCAGGTCACAGTATCGAGGTGGCAACAAGTGCCTCATGAGGATGACGGACGTACTGACTGACACCAGGATGAACAGCTCACAAGACCAGCGCTTGTCCACGTACTGTGTACTCTGCAGGAAAATATACAGGAAGAAAAATATTAAGACTCTGAGAAGCGTTATTGAAGCATAATAATGATGAAGTTAATCTTTAAAAAGTCCAACTGTTTTCACCTTGACAAACCAGACTGGTACAAAAGCAACATAGTAAGCACTGAGCATCGAGCTGACCAGCACTTCCTTCATCCTCCAGTTGAAGTCCATCTTCAGGTACTCCACCTCCTTGCGGATGAGATCCGGGGAGAGGCAGCAGGCGTGAGTTGGCATGGCCTGGACACCGTACAGCTGGCTGGTGTGCTGCTTCCACGTCTCCTTGAGCACAGTCAAGTAGTCCCTGCCTCGGCCCACGCTGCCCACCTCCTTGGAGCCGATGCTGGCGATGGGGGAGAGCGGACCTGCTCGCCGGAAGTCGCAGCTAAGCCGGAAGAATGGAATATACATCCCAAATCTGCGGAAAAAAACAACACTTACAATTAACTTTTACAATACCTAAAGCAAAGCTTCAGCTCTGCCAGGATAGTTGAGTGAATATTGTCAAACTGTATATAAACATTTATGACAAAACAGTCTGCACTGATAAAAAAAATAATTAATTAAAAATCTAGTTAACTATGGCTCCAAAATGAAGGTAGATGTCATGTAAATGTTAGCCTATTTTGCATTCATGTTAAAGTTGACCACCTTCAACACATCACTGCCAGTCAACTGGTTGCTGGGGGATGGAGTAATGTCACCCATAGTGAAGAGGTTTGCAAACACAGACGCTATGGATAACTATATGATCCTGTATGTTGTTTGCATTCTTATTGCAGGCCAGCACTGCATTCAAGCTCCATTTCAACCTGCATTAAGTTATTAATATTTAATAAACCCAATGTTTCAATTTAGGCTCTTCACTATAATGCTTAAGATACAACAAATGGATGATCTGAATGATCCCTTCTGTCAATCAAATTTTGGTATACACAAGTTGTTTCAAACACATTTGATATGCAGCAACAGCAGAGCTAAAAATAGATGGAGAAAATATGAAAACAAACACACTAGCAGGAACTAAAACAACTAAAGCTGCATAACACAAACTATGAAATACAGGCAATATGCATCAGGACTTCATAATGTGTGTGGACAACATGGAAGCAACAAAAACATTTTCTAAATGGACTTGTTGGAGGAAATATGGAGGAGTAAGTGTCCATTAGACAAGCACAGATTATGGCATCGCTTTTACCAAGAGAGTAAGTGGAAGGAGCCTGTGGTTTCCCTTCAGCTATTAGGTGAGAAACTAGCTCACATTCAGGCCTAATTCCTGGGCGACAACTGCTGCCCAGACCCAAATTCCCTGAATAACAGTGTGTGTATCTGCTATGGATACAACCATGTTTCTTCCTGTGGATACTCACGGGTAGCAGAGGAAGAGCAGGCTGAGGACAGAATAGGTTCTGAAGAGGTAAATGAGGGAGCGGCACAGGCTCCAACCTGTCAGCGTTAGCACAGCGAACCGAGCCATCACTAGAAAGATTGAATGAGGGAAGGATAGTTTCCCACTCTGTGACGCCTGGGGGAGAGGAGAGGGAGACAGAATAGTCAAATTCATTAATATAAATTTTGCCATTGCACTTTTATTCAACATGGAAACACAATTATAAATGTATGAGAGAAAAAAAGCACAGCAAAAAATGGAGTAAACATCACTTTTATAACCCTTCTGAAGAGTTCCACTATCTGTGCCTTAAATCCTGCTTTTGTTTTTCACCCCTACACAGTACTATGACTATTTCATAGTCGGATGTATACAAACACAGATCATGGACAAAGGCTCAATTCTGTTAAGGTAAAAATAGAATTCTTACCTCTTTAACAATTGCTGCAATTAACCTCCTTGCCAGTATGATGATTGTGAACACCAGCATGTTATAATCAATGAGGTGAAAGTTCTGTTAATAAAAATAGTGATTCCGGATTATTGTTCCCGCCACACCAAGCACCTACTGCAGCAAAATATGCAAATTTCACAACAACAGAGATACAGATACAGTAACCGATGGCAGCCTAGTAACACCTGATCACCAAAATAAACACATCAGTCAATAGCTGCCCCACTGAGTGCTCACCAGTGATGTGTGTGACGGAGGGTGTGAGGGAGGGTACCACCACACAGTCTTGTAGATGTTGACATAATGAACAAAGAGGGCAACGAGGTGGCAAAAGAAAAGGTGGAGCTCAAACAGCACGTTACGATCCACAGATAACTCCGGGATCTTACAGTGCTTCAGAGGAACCACTGTCTGCGCAGCCAGCGGGGGGCTGGACATGCATGTTCCCGAACCATTCCTGCAGACACAAACAGAGCCTTTTATTGTATAGTGTAATGTAGGACAACTGGAGTATGACACACCCATCTCAGAAAATCCTCCCCAACCGTGAGACTGCAATGTTGATCTCCTTTCTCTCGCAGTGTGTGTTTAGCAGGGGTATATCAGACCTACCTCGTGCGAGATCGCACCCCTGTGACTGGGGAGCTGGTGGAGTGGTTGCCATTGCTGACCGAGCCCGGTTCGCTGCTCAGTGGAGGTCTGCAGTACGTGGTACGGTTCGCCCCTCTCCTTCCACCAGCCATCGCAGACACACCCAGGGCTCACTTCTGCCAGCTACGTGTCTAGTCTTATGACTTCTGTCCTTGTACCTGTTCACAACAAGAGAGCTGGTCAGTCACACTGGATTGGGAAGGCTGATCTTGAATAACCAGCACACGTTTAATAATAATCACTGAGCAAGAGGTCTAAATCATTTAAATCAGTCTGTGATCATGTATCACGTAGGATATAATTGGCCCAGCATCAATCTGCAGCTGGTAATGACATTATATCTTGGTCAGTGATTGGATTAGACACAGGGCTGATAATGAAAGGAGTGGCGCGCACAGTCAAAACAAACAAACATTATCTGTGCGAGCTTGACATTTTACTGCCAATCAAAACCCGATGCGACGCCAAATACATCAAACCCCCTGGAAAAGTTCTCCCTCATAAATATTCATCACTTACAGCTCGCGTTAAACAGGTTCGTTCCTAGCTGCATAACATCCCTTAATATGGTGCAAGTTTTGCGGAAGCTGGCAGTACAAGCTAGCTTAGTAGCTACATCCTTTGCTGCTCTTCCCGGGTCAAATAGCTCACAAGAGCCGTTTCTAACCGAGTCATGAGGCTGAAGGCGAAAACAACGTGGATCTATACAATGAGCGACGTGCTCCAGTCTGTCCGCCAAGACCATGCTGCATTAAATACAAAGATTGAGGCCTAGGCTAACTGTATCTCTGGCTAGCTAGCTCGCTAGCTTTCAACCAACCTACTAAACAGGCTAGACAAGAAAACACAAGCTCACCAGTCTGCTGTCTGCGTCAGATGCTGCTACGGTGCATAGAGAACAAGCTAAGCGCAATACATTTTCAGAATATTTACTGAAAT